ATCTCCTTAAAGTATCATTGACCTTAACTTACTTGAGACTATCATAGGTTCATAACTGTTGATCATGATGCTTTAGGAAACAAACGAACAAATAACAAAATGCCTTGTATTCGGACGCGTGCCAGACGCGTTTCGGCCCCCCGCTGGGGCCCTATTTAGTGGCTTACCAATCACAACGTGAGCTGCCTCAGGACTGCGGCAGAGGCCGCAGCCACACGTTTACCTATGCCTTAAAACCTTCTAGAACTACCTCACCTAAATACTAAATTAGCACTGCCTAGCAAAATCCACCGGCGTGTTTTCAGTACCCGGCTACAGCCGAAATATCAACTTCCGACAGATGCTAATCGTAAAAGGAAACTTGGTACTGTAGTGACTGGCAGCAAGATAATTAGCATACAGATAGGAATCAAATATGACCAAGGTTGCTCGACGCCCCATAGCCGACTAGATCACGAAGTGACATATTTTTGTCAAACCGATCTCAAAGGGGATTAATGTGCTTAACCACCACGGCGAAGCACGAAGCAAGTATGATGAGAGGAAGTCCCATCAAGAGACCTGCAGTTTGATTTTATGTTGTACACCAGAATGGTACTTTAATCAAAATGACACAACTTTTGTACGGTCTCTAAGCTATTGAGATGTCGAAACATCGTCTTACCATGCATATATGCACTTCCATGGTAGAAGATGGTCGTCACTGACACCCTTATGAGATATTCGCATGATGCAATCATTAGATTATCGCCGTGTCTCCTCGCAGCGATTTTGTCTTTTCAATATCCTGTGATATGGAAGCAATATTTCTCGCTCTCAACGTTCCGTAAACCACGTTCTCAAGATCTCGTATTTCCTGTTGTATAGATAAACGATAGGACGTCGAGTTGACGTGGTCCTGTCTCAAGCTAACATTATTCGTTCGGCCACATATGTTCGTTGGTTGAGCGTCCACGTATCAGGTGGAAGAGACGGGTAATGTCAAATTTATCCACAAGATCGTTGAAGAGCATAACATGATGTGTGTGAGCTCTTTAATGCGCTTACACACGATATAGTCAGATGTATCGTTAGGATTGAGCGTAACCGCATTCACGTAACGCTTACTCTACTTCAATACGACGAGCTCGACATGAGTGTAGACTCAGCATGTGGAAGCTTCAGCGTGTGTATCTGAAGATACCCATATCCACTCACGATTTTAACACAAGTGGATCTTGTAGCTAAGTTCGAGATCTTAGGATGTGACACATCCGTCCACATAACACATGCCACCTTCCTCGCGTCCTTTTCGATGTGTAGAAGTTCAATAGCGTCGTTATGCTCTACGCACATCTGAAAATGGAGTGTCCTTTGAAAGTGTTTTGCGAATATATACATACTAAGCTGTAGTTATGACGCATATGTGTTGAGAAGTCAGTAGCATTACTTGTAAATACAGGAATGACGAAGAAGTGTTACTACAATTTCGTATTTTGAAAAATTGAGGTATGTAAAGCTTGTTTATGGCTCTCGCCCGCGACTTTACTACAAGCAAGTGTATTTCTACGCCTTCCATTCCAATTAATCAAATCAATTCTCAATCGCACATATAACTGCTAACTGGATTCGTCCTACTACAAGAATCAAAATTAGTGTTTTTTTTCTTAGAATGTTTTTTTGTAAAAATATGTTTGTTGAAAATAATTGTAATTTCCTATCTTTTGCAAATTTGATGGACGAGGAATTGTATACTTCATTCGGCATTTTCGTCAACTCCAGTGTGTGCAAGTGTGTTGGCAAAGCAGTTGTTATCGCGTGTTTGAAGTGTTGTGTACTTCGTTCCCACACAAAGATCATCATAAACTATTGCGGATCTAATAGCGTAGACAGTTCTTTGCCGCGCCAACACGTTACTATACAATCGTAAAGGAGCGGCATACTGATCACTCCGGTTTGGTGCTATCAACGTGGCATGGGCGACTCGCTTCCGATGACTTGCCTTATTTATTCTTGCATCGTCGACTTGAGGTCCTTCGAATTTGCAAATTTTACCTATGGACTTAAAAAAAAGTTTCATCCACCACAACTTTGACGAATGAATGCATGGTTATATCATAAAACACCAACAGCTGTCACGAATATCAGGGCCACATTTGCAGCATATCCTTACAAGCAATTTAGACATTACAACACAATAACGTGTATTGCTGGAAGCGCGCAAGTAACTGATGTCGTGCTCTTATATACAATCGGAACTGTGTCATCTTATATAATTATTAGTAATCTAGATAGGCATACTTTCACGCACGAAGCACAGCACCAAATGACAAAGAGACACGTGTATGCTCTACTAGCCATCACTGCGTATTTTTAAATATGAAATATGTATATAATTATAAAAATGATAGCTTATTAATTGCTCTAAAGCTGATAGGAATGGACGGGTGGAGGATATTGTTTGTCATACCTCAATTATGGCATAGCTATTACTGTATGCTCTGGGTAGAATAGCAGCCGGATATCGATGTCGGAAGGCATGAAACGACGGCATTTCCACGTTACCACTCGCTGACAAGTAGTTAGAGCATGTTACGGTAGTAAAGTTGTTGCAGATTGCACATCAATACGGACGGCCTCCACATCTCTCCCACTAGTCTTGACATCCTGCGGAGGTCCGTTGGAAATAGCACCAGCTGATGAGTGATTGTGTGACAAGGGTTGTACTCGCAGATGAGACGCAGCCATGTGGAATTCTGGGCAGTATTTAGCACCCATTGTTGTTGACGTGTGACAAGAGCCTTGCGCGCGTTCATGGGACACGTGTATGTGATGAGCCAGGGCCTCCAATGTAACTTACCTTTCCCAAACCGCCAAGATAATGTACATTTCTTGAAGATGCAGTTGTGGTATTGCAGAACGGTTTCTGCTACGAGATCAACATGTGTAGTCGACATCGTCGCAAATTGCAGAAACGTTTCGTATCAAACACCAATGAGTTACTACAATATGTGAAGAAGACTCCAAAGTTCATGCATGTTATGACGACTGAGAGGATGATCCTCGTTGCTTAGCGCATCGGCAATTATCAGCAGCTACTACAATCCACCCATCATGGTCATCTTGAGATCTACAATCGACATGGTTCAGTGTCTTCGGCTAGACTGCGTCAGTGATGACTACAAACACAATCGGTGTTATTTGTGGATGCTCCAATTGTTCAACAGTGTTTGTGGATGCTCCAATTGTGGGCAAGGGAGATGCGTCGAGGGTTTGCGATTACTCACGTCTACCGAACACAAGCGAATGGTGTCTCTTCAAGGTACGGTCTCAGTTTATTCTTGGCTATCAGACGATCACAATGTGGTGGCTTTATCACATATGTACGAGGTCTTTGCTTGGCTGATTCGACAAGCGGTAGAGAAGAAATAGATGTAGGAGAGGTCGTGACATGTAAGAAAGAGAAGTCAGGACCATGCTGAATGCATCTCGTCAGTGTCTGCCTGTAAACCGATGTCTGCCTGTAAACCGATGTCTGGCGCGGTCGTTTGCGGTCGGAGCAGAGGGACTTGTGAAATTACACTGGCGCTCAAGTTGAGAGCACTCATAATCAATTTTGCAATCACCTCGGAACGTCTACACCTCCAGTATGCGCTTCTTCAGTGTACTTTTCCTCGCCGTTGGCTTTTTCTGTGTGAAGCATGACACGACTCAAGCGTTGGGTGTTCGTCGTTCGTATTCGAAATCTGCCGATGAAACTGCCAAACCACGCACGCTTCCTTCGTCTGCTAACAAGTAGCCCATTCGAGAGGTGGCTAAGCTGAAGCTGGTCAGCGGCCGGCGCGAACAACAATACCGAGCGACAAAGCTTGTCGTGCGAAGTCGACGCTCTCATCGGACAGTGAACAAGCAGTGGAGGCGAGAGGCTGCTGGTTGCGTTGGACGGCGGGCTGCTCTGGCCGCCTTCGGTGACAAGTTTCTTTCAGAAATTGCGTTGCGGCGGACGTTGGATGCTGAATACTGGAGAAGTTGACGACGGTCTCACGTTTAATGCACTACGAAAGAGTCGAAACGCGTTTGCTCTTGTCCTATCGATAGTCTTTGCCTCAACTGTCACCCACAGGAACAAAGATGGACCACGCAGTATTGGTATCGGTGTCTGCGTCTGCCAACGGATCGTTGTTCTCGGCAATTCGCTTCAACGACTCGTTTCAGCGACGTACGTACGTACCTAGCCACAACAGCTTCACACACAACGCCCTTCAAGCCATGTGCCCGTGGTCAAGCAGTGCCACATCGATTAGCTGTACCACCAGTCAGTCGAAAGCAAGCAAGCGAACAGACCACGTTCTGAAGCACAAGTAAGTGTCGTTGTGTATCATTGTTTGTTGCCACTGCGGTCCGTCCGTCCGTCTCTCTCGGTGCTTCAGGTTTCCATCCACTGATCGTCGCTTCTTTGACCGAGCCATCATTATCAGCAGGACGTTCATCGACTTTGACACGTCCCCGTCGCCCTCTCGCTATGTCGCATCACAGGGAATCGAGCGCTCAAGACAGCCGAGAGAGCTCAGTCAGTCGATCGAGATGCTGCTCACGTTCCTCGAAAAGCTCCCGCTGAGCCAAAGCGGCAAAGTGTTCGTCGGCACGTCGCTCTGTCTCGCCATCTGCGCGTACCCCGTTGTCCAGAAGCGTACGCTGCGCTCGTTCGCTCCACTCGCTTGTCCGCCGTCTAACTCGCACCTGTGCTTTCCCTCCTCCTTCGCTCCTTCTGTCTTGTAGAACGCAAAGCGGGCCACGACCTCTTCTCTTCCGAGCGACCGCAAGCTATCGTGGACCAGGAGGTCAGGGTCCGTCGGGAGAAGCTCAATATCAAGTAAACACCTGCAGCAGACGATCATGTCGGGTGGACGCACCAGTTGAGCTGCTGATGACCGTCGAAGCCAACTGCGGCGGCTGTTGGAAGACATCAGCGATCCTCGAGCCGAAGCTGCTGATAACGTAGTCGCACAACACGGTCTTGGTCACATCATGTTGTACGACGACGTTTGCACTTTGTACTGTCCCGGGCCTTTCTTCAGCAAGTAACACTCGTTGCGCAGGATGTCCACGAAGTCCCGAAAGTTGTCCACCTTGAGCGCCATGCTGTCGGCCACTTGGACCAGGTCGTCCATGGAGAACAGACTCGTGTTGCGTCGGGCTGCCGCTTTCATGAGCCGTGCGACGTACGCTTTCACCTTCTTGGCCAGACTCATGCCTCCGCTGCGGCCAAAGTCGAGACTGCTGTCTTCAGCGACGCACGTGTCGCGCAAACAGTCCTGCAGGATGTCAACGACATCTCGGGCGTGCTCGACCGGGACGGTCTCAGCGAGTTCCGCTCGAGCGCGCGCTTGCGAGAGACGGATGAGCGACTCGAGCTGCCAATGTCCGGACAAAGCAGCTTGCGAGACGAGAAGTCGTGCAACGGGCGGATACATCACTGAGCGAAGATCGAGCTCAGCCTCGAGTAAGATCGACTTTTACATCGATCAACTAATGCATCGACACCGTTTTGTGGGTGAAGAATGTAGGGATGGATAGGCTTTTCTGTATTCAACCGATAGGGCTTTGGCAAACGAGGGGGTGGTAGGCCTTCCACGAAGACATCGAGCGTCTATCCGGGTCAAGAATCGTAAAACTTGCTGGGCCATGCATGTCGTTCGGACACCCCATTCTTGGAACACGATACACCACAGTGATCTACACGGAAGTGATACAGAAGCCGGGGAAACCCAACTTGTCGACGAACGTGCCTCTGCAGTTGGTAAAAGAATATCTACGAATCGAGTGCGAGTCAAGTGCACCAGAGCTTGTTGTGTCAAGCGAGAGACCAGCACCTTTTCGTCAGCTCGCGGGTAGAAGTGCTCTCTTGTCAAGGCTAAGCAAGGTCAACTGTGGCAGCAGCGCAGTAGGTCAGCTGTAGTAAAAGTCGCTGTTGCAGTCGTTGCCGTTGAAACACAAATACGAAAGACGGATCGTCGAAAACAATCCCAATCTATGCTTGAGATCGTTTGTCAAACATCCTCCAACCCGAAATCCCAACTGTCGTATCTGAATGGTTTGAGCCGTCAGTCCCAAACGACGAAAAGCTCGCACGACCAATAATGCGTCCGTCCAATTCGCCTCCGAGCACCCTCGTGGACGCCGCCACGTGCGTATGGAACCAGTACTACCCCGACGACCACAACATCGGTATCCGCCAGCCGGGGGAGACCCGTTCTGTGCTCTATATAGCCCTATCAGCGACACCGATGGCCGCTTCTAAGCCGCCGTGACCTTCCTCAACTGTTTCCGACACGGCGAACAATGGGCTCCGTTGCTCCAAGTACGGGGTACCACTTCTTGCACCGCAATACACACCAGTGAGTAGTCACAGTCGAAAATGCTGCAGTGTGACTTGACGCAGGCGAACGCGACGGTGGTGCGGCTGCACTATCAGGAGCTCATCGGACTGGAACAAAGGACTTTGAGCGAGCAATGACGGAAAACATTGAAGACGTGCTGCTTTGCATGGGCATCACGCTGTGCATGCGGCGGCACGGGCTTTGCCTGGAGGCAGAAGAAGACGCCGCGAGGAAGCGGAACGTGCTCGTTGGTCGCACCAAGATCACGGTTCGGTTGCACGGCGTGACGCCGGTGCTGCCCATTGCTGCGGTGAAAGCAGAACTGGTGCACCAGTTTGTCAGTGTTGTTGGCACGGTCGTGCGAGTGAGCGCTGTCAAGCCACTCGTCACGAGGTGCGACTTTGTGTGTGCGAAGTGCAATGAAGCGACGTCGAGAGCCTTCCCCGAGGGAAAGTTCACTCCTCCACAGGGGTGTGAGCATTCGCCGTGTCGAGGTCGGACGCTGCTACCGAACCGGTCGTCGGTGGATACCGTCGATTACTAGAAGATCAAGTGGGTCGAGGAATAGCGCGTGTGGGGTTCTCCGAAGATGCAACTGACTCATCACACGCATGTGGTCATTGTGGTCTTTGATGCTGTTGTTGTTGCTGTTGCTGTTATTGTTGTTGCTGATGTTGTCAAGACTGCAGGAGATCGAAGCCACAGATGTTGGCCCTGGCCGTGTGCCGCGAATGGTAACATGTTACCTGCCTATGTATGACCCATCCGTTCGTTACTTACGTCCAATGAGTTGATCATCGTGGCGCGCAGATTGAGGTGGAATTGTACGAGGATCTTGTGGACTCTTGCATTCCTGGTAACGTCGTGACGATCTCAGGCATCGTGAAGAGCGTCAACTCGGAAATCCACGGAGGAAGGTATGGCAAGCGTGCGCAAGCAAACAGCCTGTATATACTGTACATCAGCGCCAACTCCGTCGAAAACTCGGCAAAGGTAACTTGTGCGATGGTGTGAAGGGCTTGTCGGATGCGGAATGATGGACCTCGCATGTTGTGTCCGCTTGCTTCAACGTAGGCGGACAAAGACAAAGCTTCGGACATTGATTTTGCCAAAGAAGACCTCGAACAGATTAGCAGTATCATCAATCAGGGCGACGTCTTCGACCGGCTTGTCCATTCCCTGTGTCCCGGCATTTATCGCAACGACATCGTGAAGGCTGGTCTGATCCTGGCGTTGCTCGGAGGAACTCGGAACTCGGATGACAAAGACACGCCATGCGTGAGCAGAGCAGATTCACACGTGCTAGTTGTTGGCGATCCTGGTCTGGGCAAAAGTCAGATGCTTTGGGCTGTGTCCATGGTTGCGCCACGAGCTGTGTACGTGGGTGGAAACACCACTACCACGACGGGGTTGACTGTCACAATGGTGAAAGACGGATCCGGCGACTACGCGCTGGAATCCGGTGCCCTCGTTCTCGCCGATCAGGGAGTTTGCTGCATCGACGAGTTTGACAAAATGGGGATCGACTACCAGGCCCTGCTCGAAGCGATGGAGCAGCAAAGCATCAGTATTGCAAAGGCAGGTATCGTGTGCAGCCTCAACGCTCGGACGTCCGTCATTGCCGCTGCCAATCCCAGCGGCGGTCACTACGACCGCAGTCAGTCGGTGCGAGAGAACCTGAAAATGAAAGCTCCGCTCTTGTCTTGCTTCGACCTCGTTTTCATCCTGCTGGACCGGCCGGACGAAGAACGAGATCGGCTGTTGTCGGATCACGTGATGAACTCTCACGCACGTGGCGCGCGAAAGTCGAGGAAGCGCGTGCGCGACGACTGTGCGCCAACGAGTTCATGGAAGTCGAGCAGACACGCCAACACACTGCCGTCAAGCAATTACGAACCAGCCGCCGAGTCTGGTCACCGCATGCTATCGCACCGTCTCCGTCAGAACGTGTCCGAGTTCAGCATCGACCCCATACACCTCTACTTTGTGCGCAAATTTATCGCGTACGCTCGCCGATCCGTGCACCCACGTCTGTCGCCTGAGGATGCGACTGTGCTTCAACAGAAGTATCTGGAGCTGCGTGCAGCAGGCGAGGGCGATCAGAACTCGGCGGACAGCATCCCGATCACCACACGGCAGCTCGAGTCGCTCATCCGTCTCTCGCAAGCGCGCGCTCGAGCGGAACTCGCTGAGACCGTCTCGGTCGAGCACCCCCGAGATGTCGTTGACATCCTGCAGGACTGTTTGCGCGACACGTGCGTCCCTGAAGACAGCAGTCTCGACTTTGGCCGCAGCGAAGGCATGAGTCTGGCCAAGAAGGTGAAAGCGTACGTCGCACGGCTCATGAAAGCGGCAGCCCGACGCAACACGAGTCTGTTCTCCATGGACGACCTGGTCCAAGTGGCCGACAGCATGGCGCTCAAGGTGGACGACTTTCGGGACTTCGTGGACATCCTGCGCAACGAGTGTTACTTGCTGAAGAAAGGCCCGGGACAGTACAAAGTGCAAACGTCGTCGTACAACATGATGTGACCAAGACCGTGTTGTGCGACTACGTTATCAGCAGCTTCGGCTCGAGGATCGCTGATGTCTTCCAACAGCCGCCGCAGTTGGCTTCGACGGTCATCAGCAGCTCAACTGGTGCGTCCGCCCGACACGATCGTCTGCTGCAGGTGTTTACTTGATATTGAGCTTCTCCCGACGGACCCTGACCTCCTGGTCCACGATAGCTTGCGGTTGCTCGGAAGAGAAGAGGTCGTGGCCCGCTTTGCGTTCTACAAGACAGAAGGAGCGAAGGAGGAGGGAAAGCACAGGTGCGAGTTAGACGGCGGACAAGCGAGTGGAGCGAACGAGCGCAGCGTACGCTTCTGGACAATGGGGTACGCGCAGATGGCGAGACAGAGCGACGTGCCGACGAACACTTTGCCGCTCTGGCTCAGCGGGAGCTTTTCGAGGAACGTGAGCAGCATCTCGATCGACTGACTGAGCTCTCTCGGCTGTCTTGAGCGCTCGATTCCCTGTGATGCGACATAGCGAGAGGGCGACGGGGACGTGTCAAAGTCGATGAACGTCCTGCTGATAATGATGGCTCGGTCAAAGAAGCGACGATCAGTGGATGGAAACCTGAAGCACCGAGAGAGACGGACGGACGGACCGCAGTGGCAACAAACAATGATACACAACGACACTTGCTTGTGCTTCAGAACGTGGTCTGTTCGCTTGCTTGCTTTCGACTGACTGGTGGTACAGCTAATCGATGTGGCACTGCTTGACCACGGGCACATGGCTTGAAGGGCGTTGTGTGTGAAGCTGTTGTGGCTAGGTACGTACGTACGTCGCTGAAACGAGTCGTTGAAGCGAATTGCCGAGAACAACGATCCGTTGGCAGACGCAGACACCGATACCAATACTGCGTGGTCCATCTTTGTTCCTGTGGGTGACAGTTGAGGCAAAGACTATCGATAGGACAAGAGCAAACGCGTTTCGACTCTTTCGTAGTGCATTAAACGTGAGACCGTCGTCAACTTCTCCAGTATTCAGCATCCAACGTCCGCCGCAACGCGAATTCCTGGAAGAAACTTGTCACCGAAGGCGGCCAGAGCAGCCCGCCGTCCGACGCAACCATCAGCCTCTCGCCTCCACTGCTTGTTCACTGTCCGATGAGAGCGTCGACTTCGCACGACAAGCTTTGTCGCTCGGTATTGTTGTTCGCGCCGGCCGCTGACCAGCTTCAGCTTAGCCACCTCTCGAATGGGCTACTTGTTAGCAGACGAAGGAAGCGTGCGTGGTTTGGCAGTTTCATCGGCAGATTTCGAATACGAACGACGAACACCCAACGCTTGAGTCGTGTCATGCTTCACACAGAAAAAGCCAACGGCGAGGAAAAGTACACTGAAGAAGCGCATACTGGAGGTGTAGACGTTCCGAGGTGATTGCAAAATTGATTATGAGTGCTCTCAACTTGAGCGCCAATGTAATTTCGCAAGTCCCTCTACTTCAATCACAAACAAACGTGCTAGACATCGGTTTGAAGTCAAAGATTGGCGAGATGCATTCAGCATGGTCCTGACTTCTCTTTCTTACATGTCACGACCACCTCTACGTCTTTTTTTCTACCACTTGTCGTGTCAACGAGAAAAAGACACCGTACATTCGCGGTAAAGTCACCGAGCATATGCGACGAAGCCACGAGATGGCGATCTTCTGGTAAACAGGAAAATACCAGAGCTGACATGACATGTTTTTGTGGGTTTTTGGAAAACCCGAATAATTGGGTTCGACAAAATTTTGTTTTTCTGGTGTTTTAGGCCCCTGATCGTCGTGCGAAGGAAATATCTTGACCCCTCAAAAGTGTTGTCAGATAAGCGCCTCAGCGTGAGGTTCCTCAAAAGAGCTTGTAATTTAAGCGACACGGTGTGGCAGCACCATGCGAAAGGTCACCGAATCGATATTTAGTGACCGAGTACAAAAGTTATAACCTTCGGGTAATGGTGTGTCGGAATTCACCAGCACTGTCTTGCCAGACGGTGACTACCCCCATGCTAAGTACGTTTGGGCGACTTAAGTAACATACTACCAGAATTAGAAACGTACAACTAGACGAACAGTAATGCGCGACGAAAGGTGAGTAATGCGCGACGAGAAAATGAGTAATGCGCGACGAGACGGTGAGTAATGCGCGACGAGACGGTGAGTAATGCGCGACCAGACGATTAGTAACGCGCGACGAGACGGTTAGCAATGCGCGACTAGACGATTACTGACGTAGAAACAGAAAGAATCTAGTAGGCTTAGAGTAGCAACAGGAGGGTGTGAATTAAGGACATTAATATAACACTGTGAATTTTGCTAAACTTCAACCACTTCCTTTAAAAAAGGCCACATTCCTTGGTTCCACAACCTCATTTCAGCCCTAGTGACTACGAGACTCAATCGAAAATTGGAAATAATTTTGGTCTGGTTAAAGAAGGTATTCTCGGCGTCGACCGTAGAACAAAAGACTAATGTTATCATTTACCTACTTAGAAACTCAGCTCCCGGTATATCGAATTCCCACAATATCTAGCTTCAGCCCTAGCTTCTTCATTCCCAGCAGTGAGCGTGCGGTCGGCAATGTACTCCCACGACACAACGATGG